CAGAATGGCAGGGTAGATTATTGAAGATTTGATCAATTGATCTATTTTTATTCAAGGGGTCTAAGGGCATGGAGTTCATATGTAAGGGAAGAAATAAAGTATAGGTTCCACTTTCCCATCAGTGTCTCCCATTTATTCTCCATACTTGCTTTGACAGAGATTGGGTCCCATTTTTTATTTTTTTTTTAGGAAAGAAGGTGCTTTTCCCTTGAATTATCTTGAATAATCAAAGTAAAAGCAATGAATAATAGATTTGTAGATGTTCAGCTGCCCACTCAAGTAAGAGAATTATGCTGCATCTGAGTATGGCCGGATGTAAGAGTAGAGGAAGGGAGCTGATTTTTATATTGTCTTGCTATATTGGTCTTTGTTAATAAAACTATAGTGTGGGAAAGGGGGGAGTTTGGGTTTTGTAGACTTGGTGAACTGTATTTATAGAGCAAATTTTGAAAGACTCTGGCCCACTGTGTACTGCAGTCCTTCAAATTAAATTAAAAGGCTTCTTATATTAAGTTGTGTCCAATGTTTTGACTCTCAATTTAAGAAAAAATAAAACTTAACTAAAGACACATTTACAGCAATGCAAGCCCAGCAGAGCATATAAACAATTCTTCTTTTTTTACTTCACTTTTATAATAAATATTTTATTTGACAAATATTCAAAGGAATACAAATACAGTAGCTATATATATGTAGATATACATGTCTTTTGATTTGCACAGTCAAGAATTTTTTTCCCATTGGTGTCTGTATACCTCTTCCTACGGTTAATGAGAGCTGTGCATGTGTAAAATAAAATTGACCTGTGTAGTTTATCATGTCCCATTTGGGCTTTAAATACAGGATGGTCATCAGTGATTATAGTCTTCGATGGCTGATAAGAAAAATGTGTCTCTTAAATGGAGCCCTCAAGCAAGCAGTAGCACTATGGGTCAAATTCTGAACTGATTCGTTTCCGTATATTTCCAGGGAAATTAGTGAGGTTGTAGGGATGCAAGTCAATGCAGAATTTGGCTCCATGAATCTAAATACCTGTGATCTCTTTTAGTTGGTCTGGCTGACATTTCTAGGGTACATGCAGTCCTTACACTTATATTAACCTAACTGTACTGATGTTCGGAGAAGTTAGATCAGGCAAAAAAATGGCCAGGTTGATATAACTTAATTCACCTAAGGAGGTGCACTAAGTTAGACTGGACATGCTAGCCCAATCTACTGAATATCTGTATATATTCAGAGCACAGCCCCAGGACTGGGAAAGCCTAGTCACTCACCCTAGCCCCAGGGCTTTTCCTACACCCACACCTTAACCAGGCTATTTTTCCCAACCCCTCCAGCCCTAGACAGATAAGCCCTGCCAATGGACCTGGCAACTCCTGATCCTGCCAAACCCCCACAAACCCACCAAACTGCCTGTGGACCTGCTAACCCTAGAGATTCCTTCTGCCCCTTCCCTCACCTCAACTTACTTGGATCACATTCCTGGCACTGCTTCCAGCCCCAGTGAATGTCTGCACAAGCAAGACCCAAACTACAATCACATGGCTTAGAGCAAGCCACATGACTCTAGATCGGGTCCCAAGAATGTCTGCATGTACCCCTAGAGGGTGAGCACTTCTCAGATGAGGTGATTTATTGTAGTACATCACGTATCTCTCTTTTTTTCTCCTCAGCACTCCTGGTTACTTATTTGGAAAACGCATCATACTGTTCCTGTTCCTAATGTCTGTTGCTGGAATACTCAATTACTACCTGGTCCTATTTTTTGGAAGTGACTTTGAAATGCATATAAAAGCGATAACCAACACCATCTCTCCATTGCTGCTCATTCCTTAATTTCTTTGCAGCATTAAGGGGTTAGTGTGCTTAATATATCAATGCCCAGAAGCAGCTATAATTCAGCCATTTAAGAAAGGAACCTATAACCCTTTTAGATTGCTGTAAATCCAATGCTGTATGGGGCTTTGCAGCTTGATTTAAACCTGGTTTTTCCCTCAGAAAAATGATTTATGGTGAACAGTCTGTGTGTGCTAGAAACAGTAATAACTTCCAGTTAATTCTTTGGATTCTTTCTGTAAATTGTAGCTTGATAGCTGATTCCTTGGCTGTAAGGAACATGTTTTGCTATTGTCAAAATTGTACTTTGCTCTCCTGCTGTCACAAAAATCAGGAGCCTCACACTTAGATAATCCATCCTCACACCTATATAATTTCATTACAGCTCTCATTAGTGCATGAGGACTGCAGATTGGGCTCTTTGTGGTTGCCTTTGATAAATATTTATCCATTCTTTGGGCCTGACATTTTCCTTTACACAAAAACCTTTTTAAACTGCCACAGCCATGCAAAGGGGCCTTAGTATAAAAATGAAAGCTTAGTTTTATTTTGCTTTGTAGATTTAATAAAGCAGCCTAAATTGGTGGAATTGGTTTGTCTTGTCTTCTTCGTTTAGTGCTTGATTCTGATGCTCCCATCAGTGACAAAACTCCCAGTGAACTGAACAGCAAAGACCTTATTCACTTCAGTGGGAGCAGAACTAAGCCCATTATTACAAGTTGACTAATAGCTAAATATGTATGCTTCAGAGATTGCATTCCTAACAATTCCTGCTCAGTTAGTGGGTTTATTTCTTTTCATGCAATGCTAATGTGTTCCTGCAAGTCCACAGCAACATATGGTCAGATTACAGATCCAAACCAGTGTGAGCAAACTGGAAAAATCACACTTTTTAAAAATTGCTACCATATGAATGCCTAAGCTCCTAAATCTGTCTGATTACCACAGGCAGGATAAATGAAGCTGTATATTATGACTTCTTTGCGGGGGACAGAGATTCCTTCCCACATGAGGAGGGAGAGTATGAGCAGTTTTACAAATGGAATTCCCAGAAACTGCTCTGTAAATGCAGAAAGCAGGCCTGCCTATTGCCTAAAAGTTTAGGACTTTCATTTGCATTAAACAAGTATCTTCCCAAAGACTGTTCTAAGCATATAGAAGTGTCCTTATTTTAAGGAGAAAATATCTCTTGTTTCAAATATCTAACATGATCCTATTATTAAAGTATGTTTATGTTTCTCTTTAAAGTTAGTCTGTATTATCTCTGCATCTAACAATTTGCAGTGCCAAATCACAGCGCGCATTCTTTTCACCTACCCAGAGCAAGAATCTTAACTAAAAAATGTTAAAAATAACTGATTTATTGGGTAATTACCAGTTTATAAGCCCCTGAGTGGCTAACCAGAACAGACTGAATAAATATCAATCATATCTAATATAAACACACTGAACTTGCTGTCTTTCAGCTACAGAGAACATATCTTTAGGTACAGTGCGAATATTTCTTTTCTCCCTTTAGGTTTAAAGTATCATGAAATTCTTCAACTAATTGCTTTCCTGTCAGCTTCTTTGGGTTCCATATAACATTACGTCAGCTGTAGCCAATATGGTGATCCCACTAGATCTTCTATGCTTAAAAGGACCCTGGACCTTGTCAGTACTGAAAAGAGAGACTTCTGAAAAATGGCAAGGTGTTGCAAGAAATGGCACCAGTGATTCATTAGGTGACTTCCTTACCTCTGAGTCAGTTCTGAACCAGTGCCTCAGCATGATGGCAGGTGGCACTGTCAAGCTGGAGGTACTTTTCTTTGCATAAAACTTCTGTCTTGTTAAAATACAAAGATGAAGAGTTGAGTTAAGTGTCACAGGGCACTAAGGCGTGCCCACTCCTTTAAGGGCAGAAGCAGCCTGGCAAAGGCAGAGCTCTACAGCTGCAGGTTGCCTGAGTAACAGGCTAATGAGGTAATGCAGGCAGTCAGCTGACCTAGGAGCATATAAGCTCCGGGCTGAGGCTGGCAGGGTTCACTTTCTCTGGCACCTGCACAAGAGAGCTGCCCCATGACATTTTGCAGCCTGTTTTGCTACCTCCAAGTGCAGTAAGAGTCCAGGAGCTCACAAGGTCCCCAGGGCACAGGGCAATGCTGTCCTAAAGAATTTTTTTTGTAGAAATCTTGTTGAGCTAATAAAAGATATCATCTCTACTACTAGTCCTGATTGCCCTATTCTAGGGATGGAAGTTTGCTCACTTGACGGAGAAGAGTGCTGCCTTTATTGTTAGTGCAATGTTATAGCCCGGGGGCTTACATTTATATTATTGTTTGTACTGGAGGTTTGGGATGAGGCTGTAACAGGAGGTACGGAGCCTCATTAGTGCCCAGAGGGGGCGCACAGTCATTTTGAGCCCTACCAGAATTGGGTGCAGGCTCGAGCAGTTGGAAAAGCCCGCAATGGACAAAGGGTGCGAGGCACAGGGCACACAGGACTGGAGAGCCTGGTGCCAGAGGGGTGCAGCAGGGACAAGGACCGGAGAGCCTGGTGACAGAAACAGGTCAATTGGAGCTAGTGCCTTGGAGCCAGGTCTGATGTAGTAGGCTTAGACTAAAAGGCCTAGCCAGATTAAGGGGATAGAGGCCAAATAGGCTGAGGCCCCAACAGAGGGAATAACATCCATGTAACACCTGAGGCATGGGGCATGGTAATGGGGAGGTTTGGAGCCACACAATTAGCCTATAAGGCTTAAGATGCCCTGTGTGGTACAGTACTGGGGGTGAATGGCCAAGAACCAGTGAATTCTGGTGAGGGTCTGGATCAGGTACATGTGAAGGCCCATGGGCAGCCTCCTGACTTAGTATTTTACCAGCAAGACATGACTGGAGAGATAAAAGGACACCCTTGGGACAGCTGGCATGGTTGCAGAGCCGCCAGGGGCATCATGGCCACCCCTGGTGATCAGGCTCCGTGACATTAAGGAAGACCACACAATAGTGACAGGAAAAAAATCAAGATCCATGTAATGTGAGGTAGTGATGGCCTCTTGAGACTGGGATTTAGACATAGACATAGACATAGACATTAGGGCTGGAAGGGACCTCGGA